ACATAATCGTATCAGGTAATACTCATCCGGTGACAACAGTTTTCCTAGTGATGCCATCAGGGTTATCTCAAACTGGAATTTGGAAAGAATGCCTGAAGCACAAACTGGAGTGGGCGTCGAAGAGAAACACAAACCAGGAAAGAAGTGCACGACATTTTCAAATCTTCATTAATACTGGGATGTAAAAACACAGAAAACACTCTGACTCTTCAGTCTTTGTGAGTTTTTGTGCATAAAAAAATACAATGAAATCGAGTGGTAATGAAATTTCATCCTTTCTATCAAAGCTGATCTGAATTAGCAAACAATGACACCAGGTTTGACAAACGAGGAACTATAGACGCCTGTTATCTTAAGATAAAGAAACATAATGAGGTACTTAGACAGCCTGTTTCTTCAGATAACATTCAAATGAGCAGGTCTTCAGTCAGAATATCATTGGTCCATTTGAAATGATGAGATTACTAAAGCTGGTGATGAAACAGTTTACATGTTGATCACAAATTAGATCATTAAGAGCATCAATATTTAAAGTCAGATATAACATTTTGTGCACCACATCATTACAGTCTGCAAAGTACAGAAACGTAACAACATGAGCAGATTTCTCCTGTGTCGGCTTCCCTTCATTGGCTCCCTGTTATATTCAAAATCCTGCTCCTCACATACAAGGTCTTAAATAATCAGGCCCCATCTTATCTTAATGACCTTGTAGTACCATATCACCCTATTAGAGCACTTCGCTCTCGCTCTGCAGGCCTACTTGTTGTTCCTAGAGTATTTAAAAGTAGAATGGGAGGCAGAGCCTTCAGTTTTGGTGACCCTGAATCCTCCCTTAGTTACGCTGCAATAGGTCTGAGCTTCTTCTCCTTTTTTACTCACTGCGTGTTTATACATCACTCTGCATTGAATTATCAGTTATCAGTCCTTGGCTGTCTTCCACAGCGTGTCCTATCTTCCCCCCCTGGGTCTATAAAAGTTTGCATTCATAGGTTACTTACTAAATCGCTGTCACCATCCTTATAAGGCCTTAATATGTTTTGCGGCTGTTTACTGATTTTATATATTTACTTATTCATCAAAAATGACTCGAGCTATAAAGAGATAGTGAGTCCCTCTGCTTCCCCCCTGACCCACAGATAACAGTGTTCTTTACAGAGCTCCTCATTAGGAGATGGACTGAGTCAGAGGATCTTAGTTCGTGTACAGTCTGTGAAACAACACTTAAGGCTTGCTTGGTCTACAGCAGCAGTCCCCAAATGTATGTTTTTTATTGTTATTTCTTTACTGTTTTTACGGTTAGCTAAACGTATCGTTTCTCTGGGTCTTTTCCTGTGTGTTATGAATAAATCTTCTTCTTTTGGTACCAGTACTGGTTTTGTTTTGTTGTATTTATCTGCGACACCTTAAAGGCCGGCCCATGAAAATATGGTTGGACATTAACTGGTCCGTGGCGCACAAAAGGTTGGGGACGGCTGCTTTACAACACTGATAACGTTGGTTTCCACTTGCTTGTTTTTTCTGCATTGACTGTAGGCTGATGCCGGGGCGATCGTGGCTCAAGAGTTGGGAGGTCGCCTTGTAATCGGAAGGTTGCCGGTTCGAGCCCCGGCTCGACAGTCTCGGTCGTTGTGTCCTTGGGCAAGACACTTCACCCGTTGCCTACTGGTGGTGGTCAGAGGGCCCGGTGGCGCCAGTGTCCGGCAGCCTCGCCTCTGTCAGTGCGCCCCAGGGGGCTGTGGCTACAATGTAGCTGCCATCACCAGTGTGTGAATGTGTGTGAGTGGGTGGATGACTGGATGTAGTGTAAAGCGCTTTGGGGTCCTTAGGGACTAGTAAAGCGCTATACAAATACAGACCATTTACCATTTACCATGATGGTCAGCAGACGATCCAGGTTTGAGTTCAGATATCTGCTACGCACAGCATCAACACTGCATATAGAGAACAGTGCAGTTACACCGAGGGGTCCTGTCACGTGCTCTGAGTGCTTGTGTAGAGCAGACAAAGTGCTGTGAAAGAACCATTCAGCACTGACTCTGTGTGGCACAGCTGTTGAAGAACACTATGTGGAAGCACTGCTGACTCACACAATAGGACTGAATATTCCCAGCTTATATTCCATGTGTGGTTCTCATAGGAAGTAAACAAGCTGCCTTCTGAGTGTTTTGAATGATGTTTCACATTTTGTTCATAGTTATTTGAAAAAATTATAATAACTTCACATCAGTTTCAAGGATTTCAGGAATGTTTCAGTTAAATATGCAGCAGAGTTTGTATATTTGTCAAATTACTGCATATCCTCTGTTTCCATTAGCTGTTAACATACAGACTTATGATAGTATTTAAATATAAATCACTGCATTACATTTAAAACCGTCTGCATGCAGCTATTCTGTCAAAACTGTGTAAAGCTTCACATAAGTGTAATGCACTATTAGAAATGTTACTTATGCACCAGCATTAGATCTCAAACACTGTAAAATCTTGTTTAACCTGTGGTATGCAAGAAATAGACAACACTGTCAGTATTTCACTGGAATCTGCTCGAGTCTTCAGACTGAAGCACTTTGCAGATAAACTCACTCGATATTATTTTGTTTTAACCTGCCTCAGAGGTGCTGGAGTCAGTGCAGGATTGGTAACACTGTGCCATCAGGGAGGTGGTGTTACACCTGTCTGCACGCCAATCTATGAGTGAAGGGCTCAGTAGTGCCCCACTCAACAACATCACACCAGCCAGAGCACACACAAAGCTGCAGCAATGCAAATGTAAAGGCCATTACGAGTCGCACTGCTTTGCCATAGAGCGTAAAAATAAGCTGACACCAAAGATGAAAGTTGTGTTACTCGTAGTTAGATGCATGATCCCTGCAAGAAAGCTGCTGCACGCACAAACTGTCCCAAAGGCGGTCTTGATATTTAGATGCATTACAACTTTGCAAAAAAACACAAAAATAGTTAGTACTCATGTAAAAATGGCGTCTGGTGTCATCCCAGTGCCACAGTCTCCTGTTAAAGATGCACTTAAAATGCTAAAGTACTTTGCATGACAACAAAATACTGTAATAATTACAATATTGCAATATACTGCAATATTACACATGAGAAGCTTGGGTTGAACCACAACAGTCTCAGCCGTTAATGTGATTTGGTGCTTTATAACTAAAATGAAAAGGTCTGGAGAGTTTTGTGAACACGTCTTTCATCATTTTGGTCCTTCGCCTCGACGAGTTGTGTCCACAGGCAGACACATGAACATCTGTCTCTGTGTTTGTTTCTCTACAGAAGCCTGTGGTGGGAGGCATCTGTCAGGCTAGGAGAGCTGAGCTCTGGATGGTGTTTCTGGTTCTGGTACAGGAAGGGTGTGGCCAGAGTGCATGAGTGTAGCCAGGTGCTCTTCAGACTGCAGCTTTTCACATGTTCACCTCTGGCTGTTCAAAGCCCAGAGCTTCAAATCCCTCCTGCAGGCATCTTTGTGTCGTGGTTGGGATCTGGTTGGGGTCATACATTTTCACTACATGGCCAACGTGTGCATTTCCATTTCACCAGGTGCGCATGGCAGGGACTGCTGCTCTTTCCAGGATGGTGTTGTTTGTTTAGGATGACTGCCCGTGTTCTTTGCATTTCATCACACAAAGCTTATTGCAGTGTCTCTGTCACCCATGTTTTTGTACGGTGTGACTCTGCTTCTCTCTAGCATTTCTTCAGGACTTCATGCTGCTTGGTAACGAGGGTTCCTGTGCAGCGCTTCATCCAGGCTGGTGCACTGTTGAGCTTCTCCAAAACAGCAGATACTCAGGGCTATTCAGCGCATGTTCAGTGACAATATTCTCTCTGGCACGCGGCTCAGAGTGGTGTTCACCTCAGCCCTCCATCTATTGTCTCTGATCCTGATTTTCTCACCGTTGATAGATTTTCCTCTGTGGTGGAGGATGGGTGAAGAGCTGACTCATTTGAAAAGAGCTGAGTAAAGCTTCTGCACCTGCATACACTTAGAAGGAGCCAGCTGAGGCGCTTTGGGCATTCAAAAAGGCTCCAGACAACATCTATGTAAAGTGTTTTGGGTGTCCAACCTGAAGACCCGAAGGCAGACCCAGGACACACTACAGACATCATGTGTCTCTGCTGGGTTGCAAATGCTCGTGTTCCCCAGAAGAAGAGCTGGAGGAGGTGGTCTGGGCATCTCTGATGACCTCTGATGACCTCTGATGACCTGGGCCAATAAGTGAAAGAAACTGGATCGGATAGTACTATCATTACTACTGCTGCCATCTTCCCCTCACTTTGCCCATCCTTGTCTCAACAGCGATACTGAACAATGACATTAATCTCTCAGTTTCTGCCCCCCCCGACCTGTGTCCCTGTGGCTGCTGGCGACACTAGTATTGATGTAAGTGCTGTTTTCTCTCATTAATTTATCAGCTCAGTAGAGGAGGAGGGCCTCAGCAGGGCGAGATAATGGCTTCCATTTGGCCAAGGTCAACAGTCAACACATTCCTCAGTCGTTCAAATATAACCACACATTAACTTGTGTCACCAATACCACCCACACACACGCACCCACACACGCACCCACACACACACACACAGCTAATAGACTGTCAGTGAGCTGTCCTGCTGCCTATGACTGTTTCATCCTGTTGAAGAGGTGATATAAAGTCCCACATCTGAGAAACAGCCAAATATCAGCGTGGGTACCTTCAGACAGCAAAGCTCACCTCATCAATATCCTTCCTGTCTGTGCATCGCTCGTGATGTTTGAGTCTGAGAGTTGTTTCCAAATGTTTTATGATCATGATCAGGTCACAGTAACGTTCTGTTGGTGCTACTGCTTAGTTGCAAATGATTCAAATTATAACTATCATCACAGTCACTGGATCTTATTATTCTGCATAACTTGTTAGGACAAAAACAAGCAGTCTGTGTGTGTGTGTGTGTGTGTGTGTGTGTGTGTGTGTGTGTGTGTGTGTATTGGCCAGATCAGATGGGCACTTTGGAATCAGTCAGCTATCTTCTGAACATTTCACCCACCAACTGTTTGTGCTATTTGTCCAAATGTTGACTTTACCTGCACAATTTGTGAACCATTACACAATACAGGAGCTGAGATCAATCAGTGTGCTCTGGGTTTGAGTATAGTCTTGTACGGTGAGGCCGTTGAACCTCAGCGATGGTAATGCAGCTCGAGTATGGCTACAAGAGCAATGACCTCTCCCTCCAAATATCGCACAGGGTTAAGAAAAAAGTTACATTTCCCAGAACACGTTTTCATTTCAATTCCCGATTGGTGTTAAGTAATCTATTATATGAACTAGTACTGTGAACGTATTGTAAGACTATCAATCCAGCCTTGCTGCTATCTCTCTGCTGTCCCCGCGCTTCTGAGGGTTCACTCAATCATTAACCTAATCTACTCACTGAAAAAGTCCCACTCATGCTGTTTGCATGAGTTTGACGATAAGCTATTTGAAGTTGAATGTGGTGATGGGACAACAATTGACAAGGACTAAACTGTTTGACAATCTTTGGCTGCTTTTGATTCCTCAGAGATTCTGAAACTGGAAACGGCAGAATGAAGAGCAGCGAATCGCTTTTTAGCTTCCAAATCAAACATTTGTATTTGCTTTAAAAATTCTAATTAAAAGCTGCTTTGTTGGCGCCGCCTCACAAATCTCAGCTGAAAGTGCTGACACAGTTTACACATCATGAAATAAAAACTATGACTAATCTAGAATCTTCTATAAAATCCAACAACTGGTCCCAGATCTCCCCAGAGGCCCACAAAGTGTTAAACACAGGCCTGATAGTTTTAAACTTTCACATTTGTTTTCTGTTTCTTTAAATGAACGATGGTTTCAGGGTTTTTGCAGATTTTGTTTATTTTCTCTAGCTCTCTATTTTGAAAATCACACAGAGCAGTGTGACTGTAATTCAGCTTAATGCAGCACAGGGAGTCCTAATGTACCTCCTCACATTCACTACTGATAGTAAAGGCAGTTATCATTCATTATCACTGAGTGATTACACACTCTGATGATCCTCCACAAGTTTGCAGCTCTTCCTTTTTAGCTCAGCTGTTCTTCAGTGTTTTTGTCCCTGACGCTAAATGTTTTATAAAGCCACACGTCTGGATGCATTTTACATATAATAACACATTCAAAATTTAAATTCTGATTTTCCATGAATGTAACAGCAACATTAAACCAATATTAATAAAATATTACTGAAGGCGGCTCCTTTTATTCAAGATTTGAAATGCGCTATTTTTATATTTATCGTGTTGTGTTGGTACATTCATCTACAGTCTGCTTCTCTTCTGTTTTAAACGCCACTGATTTCCACACTGTAGTAAAAGAATTAGAGGCTATAACCAGCACAGCCACACATCTAACACATCGTAATGTCCTGTAATGTGGCTGCTGCTATTTTATGAGATAAACCTTTAACCAATCAGAAACGAAAATGTGAAAATAAACAAACAAAAGGAGAAAAGTCTCAGATCTGCAGGTACACAAAAAACTACCGCGTTGGATATAAACATGTGCAAAATATATTTCAGGCTTAATGTGTAACAGACACAATATGACGTGTGTATGAAGTTTGTTCTATCATTCTGCACTACAGCTCAGCGTTTAGACACGACGTGTCGCACTTTTACTCGCACTGATTCTTTGTTAAATGTACTTCTGTTAAACGTCCGAATAATGAGTGAGTTTGAACCTGACCAGAGCGCGTCGGTTCTTGTTGTTTTGGGTTTTCTGTGATTATTTGGACTGATTATAATTCTTCCTGCTTCTTGGCGGATCTTTCACGCGTTGCTGGATGTGGGAGAAATGCTTCATTTACAACGTTTCATTTTCAGACAGCAGAGAAAAGAGTTCACAGACCAGCTGAGCTGCATCCAAACGTTTGGATTGATTGTCAGAAAATAGTTTATTAGACATCAAACAAAACTGAATTTGCGCTACATTGATTATTTAATAAAATGTCACATAAAAAACACACGCCGACACACACCCGCAAAACAAAACAAAAGAACTAAAAAACACGCTATAAAAACACGTATATGCTACAGTACAGAGAAACTGATCTACAGGCATACTATTCATCTGAAGAACATCTCTCTCTCTCTCTCTCTCTCTCTCTCTCACACACACACACACACACACACACACTTACAGAACATTACGCATATGTACACAGGTTCAACAAAGAAGACAGTTCTGATGAAAGGCACTCGGGTTTGAGGGGCTGACTTGTCTTAGTATTACATCCGGAACCAGTCTATCAATCTGCAAGTCACCAGGCTGGAGGAGGAGGAGGAGGAGGAGGAGGAGGAGGAAGGAGTTACAGCGACGCATGAGAGCTTCAGTGTCCGAGGCAGATCTTTATGGAGCCTGTGTTTCAGAACTGGGGGTTTAGTGTGAAGTCCTCGTCGTCCTCTATGTCCAGTTCCTGGTCTGTGTCGTCTGACACGTCAGAGTTCAGCTCTGTGTGGGCCTGCTGTGAGGACACACAGTGTCCCGCTTGCGCCAACTCGGGGGCCGAGCCTGGCTGCCTCTGCTCCTGGTTCTGGATTCCGGCAGCCTCTATCATTTCATCTCCTTTCTTACCTCTGGAACTGTTATCCTCCACCTCCCTCTTAGGATTCTCCTGGTGAAAGCGAACCCCGTGGATTAGGAGACGGTACGAGTGTATTTTAGTGAGGAGTGAAAGGAAGGTAGGGCGACATCAGTCACCGCTGCTCACCTGTTTTAGTCTTCGCCACTTCGCACGTCGATTTTGGAACCAGGTTTTAACCTGAAAGGAAATGTTCAAAAAAGAAAGAAATGAATGATCTTCCTTCTTTAAATATTAAAACTCTGAAAGGATGTTTCTTATGCGCAAACTCGTCCGTAAGATTTCTGGCGTCAATTAAAAATTCGGTTTGTCCGCTGTTCACGTGGAAGCGGTTTAAATTCATTTTGGATCAAGGTCACATTGAATCAAATCAGCACGCAGCACAAATATTACACACACACAAACCCATGGGTAATTCGCTACAAATTCCAACCATTTGCAGCCAGTAAATAGCTTTCTAGTAATAAAGTAGCTAAATCTAGTGTTATGCTACATTTCAAAAACGGAATAAATAAATAAATGTATAAAAGTGTTTCATCGAAAATTGCGGCCGATCCTCCGGAGATCCTTCCAAACAGCTGCAGGCCATTACGGCACATGTGTGTGAGCCAGAGGGGCTCCGCTCACCTGTCTCTCGCTGAGCTGCAGCATCTTGGCCAGGCGTTTCCTCTCCGGAGGAGACAGGTACTTCTGCGTCTCAAACTTCTTCTCCAGCTCGATGGTCTGGTCGTTGGAGAAGCGCACCTGGCCGCCTTTTCTCTTATGTAAGGGCCGCTGGATGAACGGCGTCCACAGCAGAGGCTTCCCTGTGGAGAGATCCCACAGAATGCACCGTGTTTGAAATACATGAAATAAAACGAAATATTTATTTCTGGCTGTGACAAACGTGCCCGCTGTCGAAAAAGAAGCTACAGCATATAAACCTTCCTGCTGCCATCTGACATGAAACGAATTAACAAAACACGCAGGTACGCGACAGAAACACGGTACATTTGTACTGCGTTATATTAGGCCCACTGACGGCATTTTCACTCACATTCACGCGTTTGAACTCTTGCGATAAGTGAATTTTATCCACATGAAAATATAAAACAACACATTTCAAACATTTTCATTAAAAGCTCCGGAGCTGACGGCACAGCCTATACGCAGACATGCGCAGTGCAGAGGCATCGAAAAATCGAACTATTCGGTAACCAGAGCCAGACAGACAGACAGACGGTAACAGAGAGAAGATGTGTTTAGACTCTGTGGGCTCTCCCGGTCACCAGACAGCTGCGGACTCCAATGTGGAAAAGTTTGAGAGTTTATTATTTTTCAGGATTAATTATTGGATAACTATTATTTGGATTTATGTATTTATTAATTATTAATTATTACTATTACTATTATTATTACTATTATTATTACTATTATTATTACTATTATTATTACTATTACTATTACTATTACTATTATTACTATTATTATATTATACTATTATCTATTATTATACTACTATACTTTTATATATATTATTACTTTATTATTACTATTATTATCTACATTATAATTATTACTATTCTAATTATTACTATTATTATTACTATTATTACTATTATTATTACTATTATTATTATTACTAATTATTATTATTATTACATTATTATCTATTATTTATTATTACTATTATTAGCTATTATTATTACTACTATTACTATTATTATTACTACTATCTATTATTATTACTATTATTATTATTAGGTAACAGATGTAAAACTGTAATGAAGAATTTCTGATGGACAGGGCATAAACAGGAAGAAAAAGTGGAGACTATTAGTTACTAAATATTGGGAAATGTGTGGGATTAAATAAGCTTGCGCTTCTTTCTACTGCATTTTGAAATAAATGTAAGTTATTTATAATTATTATTGTTTTGTTTTGTTTGTCTCTTTTTTCTCTATTGTTGTTATAATATTTTAACATGTTCAAAATAAAGATTTCATACAAATACAAATGATTATTATTATAATTATTATGATGTTTTATGTGTTTGTTGTTTTACACCGGTGCTGATTTTAAGGAGGCTCAAAATCTCCAAAAGTCTCGATGTGCTTTTCAAAGTTTATACCCTAAAACTCGATTAGAAATGAACATAATTCCTAATTTACTGCGGATTAATGAGGGGAAAGGATCGGTGCTGTTGAAGAGATTTATTGGAGCGAAAGGCCGCTGGGTGCAATCAGAGGTGTTTTTGTCCTGTCTGCTTTCCTCCCCGGGTGATGGCCGGGAACAAACAACGGCAGCCTGCAGCCTGCTGCGAGCTGTCTTTTCAGGGAGGTCGTGACAGTGAAAACTATGGCCAAATATCCGCTTCATGTGCTTCCTGCTTTGCGGTGTGATTATAGGCAATGGCATCCACCAACAGACACTCCTGTGCTCAGCTCTGACACAATATGAATGTTTGTGGTCGAAACTGCTGTCAAAGACCTTCTTATTGCTGCGCTTTTCCTAAGGAAGTTAGCCAATCCAGCCCCAAGAGACACTGAGCGAAAATACAAGTACAGGAAAGGTTGAGTAAAAATCAATTTGCGGCGAAAATGAAGGAAATGACATAAAATGAAACATTTTCACTGAATATGTGAGAAGTTTGTGTTCGTGCCGTTTACGCTCGGCTAATAAAAATCTGTGAAACTGGAATGATAAGCGCTAACTCGTTATAATTGTGGTAATTAAGCACGCGCACTTCTGGTTGAAATATTTTCGCACTCACAGTTTTTGTTGGCTTTGTGTTACTTTGTAACTTTCTGCCGTTGGCGCGCGCAGCGGCCTGCAGACAGTCTCATCAAATCAGAGTATTAACGTGATCGCTGTAAATAGATGCACAGATGTGGCGGTTGGGATAGCTCGTTAATAACAGTTTCATAAAACTGAGTGACGGAGATCGGAACTTAAGCGGGCCTGAAAGCGCGCACACTGCGGGCTGCTTAAAATAGCCAGAGGAGGTGTGCGCGATATTTATAGAGCACAGCATCTTTAATCCGCTGTTCGACAAGACATATCATACGAGATGATTACAGATGATTGTAGGCGCTGAAACCAATCATTGTTCTCCTCGGGCAATCTCAGTTCGTGCTTGTTTGTCGTCTGTCTGAAAGGTCAGCTCAGTTGGGAGGACACGACTGTAGCTGCTGTTAGGGGGACTTTATCTTTCTCATAAGTCCCCATTAGCTCTCTGTTTGCCTTATTTTCTTCTCGCCGCCAATCATAAAGAAAGTCAGCCACATCCTCGCGAGCCCGGCAGAGGAAGTGCAACAATATGTGAAAAACGGATCCCGGGCTATCAGAGGCCGAGTGTTTCCTGAATATGTCTGTATTGAGGATGTCGATAAAATAATCAGCAGCGTGCAGCGGGCTCCCGAGGAAGCGGCTGGCCGGGGTGAGACAGGAAAACATTTAACAGCTTCTGAAACCAGATTTACTCCTATCGACAGGCTCACAGCTTCCGCTATGAACGGAAAAAGGCCCGGCTTGTTCAGCAGCACACAGTCAGACGGTCCGCTTGTCACACTATACTTAAGAGGACCATCACTTCTGGCCTCTAACACGGCGCACAGCGTGTGTGATGGCTTCAAGCACCCCGGGCACATCATGTAAAGCAGCTTTCACGGCTCCATACTCACACAGCCGATTTCTAACAAGCCCACAATGTCAAGATCGGCTTGTTTCACGTCGGCCGCTCCCCCAGCCACTAATACTGCTAATAATTATTATCATAATAATAATAAAAGACTTGTGGTAAGCTCATGTTCAGTCAATACCCTAGAGAAAAATAACCCAACTACTTGGTGCTCAAAAGTATATGACGCACACACACACACGCACAGCAGTGAAATAACAAGTGATTTAGGGCCTGGCTATGTTTTAGTCACTGGCTGACTCGGTCCTCTGATGTTTCAGAACAATGGGAGTCAGGAAAACGAGTCAAGGTTGCCATGCACCTCCCTATCACCACCAGCAGCAGCACACTGAATGGATATGCCTGCTGCTATTGTGGCCCCAAATACGTCTGTCACAATAACAATGTGACTCATGTGTGCGTGGTCGCGCATCGTGCACAAATGTTCTTGTGAGACCAAAATGAGCTGAAGGCTTCGCGAAGACGCACAAAGTGTGTCCTCGACTCTAAAGTGTGTTTAAGAGGAGCAGTGCAAGTGTAGATGATCTTGAGTTCGACATGCATGACCAAGCGTGATGCTTATGCAAAAATGGTTTCGCTGGGACTGAAACGAAGCTTGTGAAGACATTAAAGTTTTCATGCAAAGAGCAGAAAGTTGTCTTACTGCCACATCATCCAAGTGTATATGTTGCCGCGAACAGATTTCAGGTTCACCTAAATTGTCACCGAGCGATATGATGTCCAATAATATATGATTTATTCATTTTACAATGCAAATTGTGAATATATGACCTTAACTATTTAAGGGTCCTGATTTCCAGTGAAATAAAACCAGCAGTGCAGACTTGAGGAACTGAGTTTAACTGGCGCATTTCCACACAGGAAAACAAGAAACGTGATGCTGGCTGTCTGACGGCAAGGCAGCAGAAAAGGAGAAAATGCCCCGCAGGATATGTTTGCTAACAAATGATAAGACCAATATCAATGATGGAAATGAAATGGAACTCACCGAGAGGGTCGTGCCTGAGCAGCGCCTGTGCGTACTCCCCCATGGAGCGGTGGTGTTGCTGGTGAAACGGGTAAAAGGAGCCGGTGAAAGCCCCCGCCGAGGCGTACGTCGCCGTCAGCGCAGCGTGGTGGGACAGCGCGGGGTGGATCGGCGTGGGTTCATAAATCGGGGTTCTGTACGGCGAGATCAAACTTTTGAAGGACGAGTTGGGAGACGGGAGAGTCGGCGTGGGGATGACCGGAGTGGAGCAGGAAGATGAAGACGTTGGCGATGAAGAATAGGACGGAGATGTGGAGGTGGTGGTGGAGGTCCTCCCCAGAATGTCCTCGATGTAGAAGGGGGTCGGGTGTGCCGGCTGAATTGGGGTCGGTGCGTAAAGCGGGACGCTCATGATGCCGATCACCGCTACTGCGCACTGGATCCAAACTAGGGGAGAGCTTCGCGTCTTTAGTCCCGCAGCCTTCCTCTTTCTATCACAGCAACTTTTTATGAGCCGCGCTAACCTCTGCTCAGCCAGTCCCGAAACACAACGACCAGAGCCTGTTTCCGAGCTGCTCGGGAGACCGTTACACTGTTTTAGTGTCCATCAGGTTGCTGAGGAGCTGCCACTCTGTTCAACTGTTGCTGCTGTTATCTGTCTGCAGCCGAAGGAGGGAGGAGATAAGTGGACGGCCAACTTCCTGCAGGTGGCCGGCGGCCGTTTCTGATTGGCTTGCACGCAGTTCTTAACGAACTCCACAGTGGTCGGATGACAGGAGAGGGGAGATAATTGTGTTTCAGAAGAATCGACGCGACGCAAACAGGTAATCAGAAAACAGACGAATGTAATGGAAGAGAGCCGGCGCTGAGAGTAGCTGGGTCTTAAAATGCAAATACGGGCCCGCTCACACTTCAGCCTCCTCACGGTCACACTCCTAAGAGTGTACACCGCCCATAATGTTTGAGTAAAAGTCACACTCCTACTCAGCTCAAAACTGTTTGCATTTACCCAAAGCACCTCAATCAAAACTTGCATGCAAAATCATATTACTGGATCATGCCCGAATAATGAGTGAACATCCGTTTATTGTTGCAGTATCTGCATACTGCTGTGTCATATATGTATTAGCACAGTGATATGTGTAACTCGGCACAATAAGAAATACGTTTTCACATAAATGAAATATAAGAGCACATGCACTGTTACACAGGAGGAGCGTACAGCGTTTTCGTGACCTTGTCTGTTAGCAGTCTCAGATGATTTAATGGTAACTTTGAGGAGATTTTGCATTAGAGCCGGGCTTTCAAAGATAAGTGTGATTTGAAATGATAGTTCTCACTGGTTTTGCTCCAGGAAGTATCATGCCACAAGTCAGCGGATTGGCCCACGAGGGTAGCTGTCCAAACTGTTTAGGTTCTCCCAGCCAGAGATCGGCATCATTGCTTTATGCAAAAAGACATTCCCCGTGGTTTGGCACCACGCTGAAGTGAGACAGTTAGGCAAAGAGCGCGATGATGCAGTTGTGTGAATAACATTTCTTTGGCAACATTGTTTTTAAAAATGTTGAACAAATGTTGAATGTCAGATGTAAAACCCACGTGAACAGAGCACAGACAGCACGCAGCGCTGCTTTTATACCCACACACCTTTGTGTAGTCAAACGGGCCGCAGCCTTATCTTAACAGTGTAATAGAGGCCGACTGCGATCCACGGCCCCAACGGTGCAGCTCAATCAAGTGGGATTAACTCCTGATTTGAATGTTTGGAGTTTTCCTGTGAAATCCACTGTGGGATGAGATAGCAATAAACGCTCGTGTATGTAACGGCTCACTAAGTGATTGGATGTTAAACAATAACCGGAGACTTCTGCTTTAGTCACAGCGGGGCCCAGCTGCACGCGCGCAGGGCCTCGCGACATTTTATCGTCACGCGAGTTCATTAACCGTCGCTGGAAACGGCGACTCGCACCTGGGAGCCGGACGACGGCGTTTATCTGCTCGCTCCCCGAAACCAGCCGCCGGCTCGATTTCCTGGCGCGCGCCCCCGTCTGCCAACTTTCTAACGGCTGTAATTTAGATAAAGTGGAGCAAACAGCCTTAAAGACATCAAAGACATCCACAAAACGGCTAATATTTGGACTGAGACAATCATTGCAGCTCATTGATCCGGCCAGCCTCCCGTGGCGTCAGACTCCGGGCCAAAAACCGCTGATAACTCGAGTGAGCCGCCCCCCGGCAGCTGGCGCCATATATCTGCCATTGTCAGTGCAAGCCACTCAGTCTCCTCCTCACGAGTCAACAGTATCCCGATTATCAAACGCATCGGGATGTGCCCGGCCTTCCTTTGTTCGAGTTTGGAATGACCGAGGAAACGTAACCATGAGAAACGGCACAGAGCATGCGCTATGGAAATGAAGCAGCAGGTGATACTCGGAAAATTAGAATAAGTATAACCATGCATACGCACTCTGTACTTGGTTTGGGCCCCTTTTGCATGAATTACTGCCTCGATGCAGCGTGGCGTGGATGCTATCAGCTGTAGCGCTGCTGAGGTGTTACGGAAGATTGTGGCCACATTTTGCACTATATTTGAATTCCTCGAGTTTCACCTGTAGATGTCTTCATTGTAGTGGGAAGCTTAGAAGCAAAGAAATAACAGTCCACACGTGAGTTTGGACGAGCTCAGGGGGCTTTTTTACTTAATCATGTGCATCACTGCACTGAGCAGGACTCAAGGAAGACTTTGTAAAAGACATTTTTACAACAGTGAACTAAACCGAGGCAGCCGATAAAAACAAATCAGATCCTAAACTTACAACAAAAACTTCACAAGTGTTCGGTGCCACAGACACTGATCTCGCCGTTCCCTCGCAGCTCCAGCACAAATCTGTGCAGGTCCAGCAACATGGTAACCTGCTGAGTCTCCTTTGCTCACGTTTCTCATTATATGACTGTTTGCTTTACAACTTTTAATGTAAGGTGTCATGATGTTCAAACTTTAACTAAAACTGAAGGGTATGAACCAAAAATCAGTCTTTACATGAAAGGAAACCCCTTCCTCTTCCCTCCGCATCCTGGTCCCGGTCAGGTGACTACCTTCTTTGGCTTCGGATGGTCCTCCTCCGGGTCTCCCTCTGAGCAGGTCTTCAGCGAGCGCAAGACGTGTTCCAGCGTCCACTGCTCCTCGTGTAAGGCGTGCTCCTCCAGAGTGAACGGACCCTGCTTTGTTCTGACCAGCTCCTTCACATGAGCGCAAGAGGACAGAGCTGCAGCACACAGACAGCGTTACTCAGCAACACGCCGTCGATGGAAAGGTGAAACAGGTGGAAGGCAGTCTCACCTTTTCCCAGGTCATCCACCAAACTTCTGACATAGAACCCACCACCACACTCAATATCTGCAACACGAAGGAAAGCGAAACAGTCAGCCAAAGAGGACACAACACCTAAAAGCCTGTTTGAGAGCAGTCGCTGTGTGATGCAACGTGTCGAACCCAGAGTGAAGAGAGGAGGCTTGAACTCCTGCAGGGTCAGGCTGTACACCGTGACGGGCCTGGCCGGTTTGGCATCGACCTTGTGACCTTTCTTCAGTAGGACAGACAGACGTTGGCCATCCTTTTTTAATGCCGAGTATCTAAAACGATTATAAGAGTTAGTTAAAAAATACACACATTTAGCACTAAGAAGCACTAAGAACTGTTTTTATATGAACTCCATGTATAATGACACAAAGGCACTGCTTCCTGCCTCAGTGGGAATCAGCACTGCAGTAGAGGCAGTGAGCAAACAGTGACCTCCAGAGGCTTCATAGGTCACTGCGCTACACTAATAAGACAAAAAACCCTCAAATGTTTAAAGAACTGGACCATTGAGAGGCCTTTCATTCATTCTCCCAGGGGACATGAACGGCATTAAAGGACACACGATCGGTTTACTGCAGCTGGACATTTAGATCTCAGAGCATCTTCACACAGAACTGGTCCACACATCACTTCTTAGCCTTTACAACAATTAGTCATTACGGCTCTCTGATCATATCATTAACCTGTAACATGCCATCAAACTGGCTGCACATTCAGAGAAAACTGGTTTCAGTTCAGCCATTTGTTGAAGGCTCTGGCGTCTACTGCAGCGTGTTGTGCGCTCTGCCGTGAAGGCGATTGGCTGCAGACTCCCATCTCTGCAGGGCCTGTGCGCCTCCAGCACACTGGGGCGTGCAGCTGGGATCACAGCTGACCCTTCTCACCCTGGACTCAGTCTGTTAGACCTGCTCCCCTCAGGCAGGAGGCTCCGGCCCAGTCGCACCAGAACCTCTCACCATAAGTTTCTTCTCCTCTGCTGTTGGACTCATGAACAGTAACATAAGACTGGTCCCACCCCAAACACATGGCCCCATACTTCTCTGCATCTGTTCCACTTTTGCACTCATGTATATATTAATCTGCTTAGCACTTTTCATTTTTATGTTTATTTAAGTGTTTGCCTTCATTTCCTAATGTTGGAAAGCTGCTCAACATTTGGCAATAAAACCTTTTCTGATTCTGATCTTTGCTTGTGTAGACTCAAAATGATGACACGGCTAATGTCCCTCAGAAAATGGAAACAGCTTCTCCACACATGGATATGTAGGCCTACTTTAACAATCACACTCATTTTGTGGTTCCCCGATTTGAATTTTCCTGCTGCATCAGCCAACCTGGCACATTCCTGGAAGCGTCTGTGATAAAGCTGGTGAACCGTGCAAAGCTGTCATCGCGCCTCTGAGTTCAATTCATGCACCTTCATGTAAGGTAAGCATCGAACCACTGCACCACGGAGCCACTAAATGACTGCAACCCCCAAAAAGGAAACTCACATGAACCCCACGTTTATGCATCTACCATCAAATCCAACACCATCCCAAACAAGCGCAGAAACAGAGGACGTGAAGTCCTGAGCTGCTGCTCGGAGAGTTTTAGGTTTCGTTTTCTGTAAAAGAAGATTTCATCTTAAGAAATGAACGTTTCGTTTGATCTAACTAAAGCTTCAGACGTTTGGATGTTGACTCACAGCGGAGGCACTTGCATGATGTCACCAGTGAAAGCTTTCAGCTTATCCTCGACGTCCAGCCTGGTTATGTGTTCTAGAAAATGTATGAAAACATGACTCACTGAGAGACAGACGGTAAAGGAGAAACCGAAGTTTGCAGATTATCCTGCTGTGTCGGTGGATCTGAAAGATCGAATGAACGGATTTACCAAAACCTTTCTCCAGAGTCACGCTGCCGGTGGCATCAAGAGTGTCTGTTGCTTTTCCAAACTCTCCAACGGCAACGTATTTCTGAAAAAACACACAGCATGTGTCACGTTTGTGTCACACCAAGTTCATCCACAGTTAACAAGTTACAGGAATCATTCATGCATTTGTCATCGCAGACATCTAAAGTTCACGAGGCGTTCGGGTCTGTTGAGAAGCTGTATTGTATACACAATGTCCTTATCAATAGATTTGCATGTATACTTGTACCTAAAAAAAAAGTGCTTCTCTACACACGCAGAGGTTTGTGTTGTGGTTTCTAACAGCTCGTTAGCACCTGTTAGATCTGTTACCATGAAAGCAGGAACAGACCAATCAGCACGTATCGACACAATGCTAGAAGTTCATGGGGGAAAGGACTTCACTGTGACACAAACTAAAGGACGCGTCGTTTTATTTGGAACATGTCAGTGTGCATCTGTTAAACCAACATGTTTGGCTTCATCCAGGTGACGACATACGGTAGAGTCAGAGCCTGGCTGTGCTCGTCAGCATGCACAATAAAGAACAATCAGACACGCACAGCAGTGCAGCTCTAACCTGCATTCATGCACGGTGCCTCGCACTTTTCACCAGACGTCAAGGTTTAATGCACATTTTAGTTTAGTTCAAACAGCAGTGAAGCAAACTGACCTTTGACCCAGTCAACATTGTGCTGAGCATTTTGGTGCCGTTCCCAACACCAACAACTGAAACAAAGAGAGTCCAATGATTAAAGTCCTGCTAGCGCCCCCCACAGGTTGAAGTGTTCACTGAACTCACTTTTAATTCATTCATCAAAGTTCACCAAACTCAGAATATACTGAAACATTTATATTTAGTGCTCATCTTTGTGCTTTGTTAAGTTGATAACAAGCTTTATTCCCTTCTTCATGACATCATCACCTGGGACTTTGCAAGCAGCAGTGAAGCGGCTGCTTTTCCCTCAGACTGACCCAACATCACCTGACTGAACAGCTTTTCTTATGCTTACGGACGAGGTGGAGGTGTGCTCTCGTCTCGCTGTGCTGCGGGGTGCAAATCAGACAACATGGCATCATGCTGCAGGATGTTGTAGCAGCCATGCTGGTTAAGAGCAGTCTTCCTTGGGCGAGACGCTTCACTCGTTGCCTACTGGTGGTGGTCAGAGTGCCCGGTGGTGCCTCGCCTCTGTCAGTGCGCCCCAGGGTGGCTGTGGCTACAATGTAGCTGCCATCACCAGTGTGAAAGTGTGTGTGACTGTGTGGATGGCTGAATGTGTAAAGCGCTTTGGGGTCCTTAGGGACTAGTAAAGCGCTGTACAAATACAGACCATTTAATTCAACCACAGTGAATTAATTTTTCCTGAAATTATGGGTGTGGCCACTTTGCCAGACGTACCAGCACAATCAGCACAACCAGCACCTACCAGGTTGTCTGGTAGGTTCATCTCTGCTAACTGGAGTCAATGGACCAGACTTCTGCACTTTTAGCTGCATAGGTGCTTTATAAAACACTTTAATAAAGACAAGAACTACAGTTGGGCTCATAGGTTATAAGGAAAATCGAGTCCTATGATATCATTGTTCAACGACAGTGGTTTAACTTGCATTTGAAGGAGGCCATCATTGATTTAAAAGCACAAAAACAAAATACAGCTATCAGAGAGCAAATTACCAATGTAGTCCATTCTTAAAAAGATGTAAGCACGGGCCGCCCAGAAACACCTAAAGGCCCAAAAACACTGAAGAAAATTTAAATGAATTCTTCATTTGAAGAAATAAAAATCCTGACATAACATCGACTCAAGTCCCAAAAACAGTTGAAGAGCTCGGCCTGTCATTGTTAAAACCTACACCATGGTGCAAACCACTGGTTACACTCAAGACCAAGAAGGCCGGACTGCATCTGCCAGGAAACATTTAAAAGTCACAGTTCTGGAGAAAAAACCCCACTTTTGTCAGGTGAAACTGAGATAAATTTGTACAAAAACGATGGGAAGACAAAAAGTATCCAGAAGGAACTGAAGCATTATGTGTCAAACATGCTGGAAGCAGCATTATGGGCTTGTATGGCTGCCAGTGGAACTGTGCCACTTAAAGATGGTGTGACTGCTGACAAAGCAGCTCAGAGTTAGACAACCTGGGACAGCCTGTTCTACACTGTAGAAATGCAGGAAAAACACCTGATAGATCTAACGAGGTGCCCATAGACACTGAAGCCGTTTCCACTGGCACCTTGATTGATTGAGTGTGGAGGTGCTGCCTGAACATCATCTGTGATATCAGTACACCTCTCCAAAGTCCACCGGCCTCACTCCTACACAGGTGGGTCATCTGGACCATTCCACTCTTCATAGAGGATGACGGGCCAGCACCAGGGGTACACTGCTTATGAGGAACATAGCTATATATCAAAACAATAAGATCAGATTTCATGACTTTACTATATTTTATCCATAGAAAAACAGCAAGCATGTTGTCATAGAAAATACAGGAGTCACGATGTCGCGGACTTTCCCAGGACACGCGTGGGAAGAAAAATGTGCAAAAGAAAAGAAAATGCACCTGTTACAGAAAAATGTTAGTCTTGAAAAAACAACTTCTAGACAAACGACAGTGTACGTCTCAGGAATTTGAGATTGTTATCAACATAAATCTATTTGATGTTAATAGTGAACTCTGTATAAAACGCCCCCAGACATGCATGACTGAAGCAGACTGGAGCAGCCCTGGAGGTCGGGCCCTGCCGGTGCTTTACCGATAATAACAGTAAACACGGAGGGTGGGACTGACCCCCTCTCCCCCCTCCCCCCAGGGCAGGAATGACAACAGTCGCACGTGGCCCAGCACCGGGACGTGAGCGCTAGCCTAGCCGCTTACCCAGCACCCCGCTGGCAGCGCTGTCCAGCGTCCCTCCGTGTCCCATCTTCAGGCTCTGGTTCTTCCTCTTCCGCGGGTTTGGATTTTTGACTCCCGCCTCTGAAAGATAAAGCGACACAAACGGTTTACGGTCAGCTTTCCGCAAACACCGGGCTGGACGTCCTGCTGCTGTTTGGTCCCGTTACCCTTGAGCAAAGCTTCCTTGAGTACATTTAACACGTCCGCGGAGGTCGGCCCTTGTTTTTTATATATCGCAAACAATCCGTTTAACGCCTGTAGTTGCGACAAAGAACTAGTTATCGCAGGGACGGTGCTACTGCCGCTCCCGGCCATGCTCGTTTCTCTTTTCTTTGGCTAATGTCCATCTTCTTCTTTTACCCTCAGTGGCAACTTTGCGACCCGTTGTTGTCTTTACTGCCCCCTGCTGGTTGAGCAAACACTCCGTCTTCCTTCTGCATGAATAACATTATTAAACAACACGACGCTTAACAGCCTTCTGTTGTTGACGAGCTGTTTAAGCAGTATTATAGGCAGTCTTCGCTCATCCTCACACAGATCAGGCCTGATAAAAACCAACAAACAGTTAGATAAATAAAGATTTTTTCGAAACTACGTCGACCAAAATGCTTTGCGTCAAACACTTCCTAGTTACTCTGTGCCCTGGTTTCCTTCTTCTGTCAGCTGGTCGAGCTACGACAACAATAACTGTCAGGACGACAGTTTTGGTGGAGGTCTGTGTTTTTATCTTAACCTGTAATTATTATTTTGATCGCTAGTCACGACATCCGGTTTAAACACCTCCTTACTTTGATCATCGGTTTAAGATTTGATTGTCCCGCGCGAGCCTCTGACTCGCGTGGAGATAGCACCTCGCGTCACTCTCATTCAAAACTGGCTGCTCAGCGTGGCTCTGCCTGTTACAAGCTACCATGTAAAATACACGTCAGTCCGCTCTAAATGCACACAGCTGTGCGGGCTGGTCGCTGCAGTGGTTACAGTTGAGTCAGTGTCGTGTGATCGTCAATTATTTCTTAAATTCAGCAAAAGCTCGGCGTTTTCGTTATTGATTAATGCGTTTATCTTTGATGCAAAGAAAATCAACAGCACGTGTATAGATAGCAGCAGTAGCAACTTTTGTCTCTCCTTCTTTTCACCAGTTGGTCTGAGGACGGAAAGCTCTGCTCGTCAGATGATCAGGAGTCTGCAGAGCCTGGATGGAGGATTTCAGGCGGATATACCTCCGTCTGTGTAAGGAGGGAGGCGTGGAGCCTCAGGAGGGTGTTGTAGCTCAGCTCCAGGAGAGCAGGTCTGCTCAGGGCTCCAGACTGGACCTGAGTGGACAGAGCCTGTCTGCAGATACCTGCTCAGTGCTGGCTAAGGCCTTCCATAAGGATATTGTCTTTACTGAGGTGTCACTCAGTGACTGCATGCTCAGCGAGGAGGGTGCGTGAGGACAGTCTTTATGTAATGTGGAGAATTATACAGTATGTGCAAGTGTATGGTGCTCGGTGATGTCAATGATGCAGTGACGTGGCCCTGCCCGAGTCACTCTGCTGCGGCACGTCTATTTAACGTACTTTAGTCAGTCTGATGATTGATAAAACTATCAGAGCGAGTGTGTTAGGCTACATATCACACAGATGCTGTCAACAAAGTCCTTTGGTTCTGATCCTGAACACATCTTCACATTTACAGAGTTTTCTCTGCTTGAATTAGAAGGATAAATGCAAGCAGTCTTTTTTAAATGCAACAAACAAACAGAGAAATAGAGCACATTCATATAGATCTTTTTCTCATTAGCATAATAAACCACATTTGCTGCTCTGGTAAATATTGTGACTCAGGATGTGTTAGTCACTGTGCTGTGTGTGACTCTCAGGTGCCAGAGTGCTCCTCAGTGGACTGTTTGACAACACGACTGTCAAAGTCCTGGATCTGAAGGTACCAGCTCCCAAATTAGACTCTCCACACACGGTGACACTAGTTTTATCTTATTGCACAATATCTGTGTGTCCTTAGGTTGTGTTTTTATTGTTCACAGGGGAATAACCTGAGATCATCAGGAGCTGAGGTGCTGGGACAGTTGTTGGCACAAAACAAGACGCTGCGCAGGTAAGACTCATGCTTTTCCTGTCTGTGTGCCATTTCATTCCTTTCCCTTATGGAGGTTAATAGTTGTGTAGTACCGGTTTACAACAACAGATCGTAAGCTGTCTTTTAACAGCGGGAGACCTGTGAAAGGCCACAGGCTGAGTGTAGAGACACGCAGACACTTTAGTGATCACACAGAATATTTAGTAGTTGAGTTAACCACACAAAAACCACTGTAGTCACTTCTGTTTTTGGTGAGAAACACTCTGACACTTTGTATTTCACCACAAATGAGTTTCAATCAAACAACCAAGATGTGAACAAAAATATTGCATTTGTGGGAATTAAAGCGATTTTCAAACACCTGACATGAAAGTAAGAGCAGACAGCCTGTAGTGTGGGACATCATACTGAAAACAAAACAAACCCATCAGAGAGACAGCAGAAACGTGACCAAATGCACAGTCTTATCACACATTTCTGATCATTGCAGGAACCTGTCAGCACATAGTGTGAGCACTGAAGAGTATCCCTAATTAACTGGCAGTGTTTGGTTTTTGCAGGCTGGTGCTGGAGTGGAATGCGTTGGGCGTGTGGGACGAAGCTTTCTCACTCTTCTGCAGCGGTTTAGTTTCCAACTGCGCGCTGACGCAGCTGGACCTGCGCAACAATCAAATCAACCACCATGGAGCGTCGGTGCTCGCTCTGGCACTCAAACGCAACAGCACACTGGAAGTTCTAGGTGACTCTAACTGGTTAACGTCATGTACCGTGTTGTTCGGTAGAGAACAGCTTTTAAGAGCAGCCTCCGTCGTATGGCAGCATCATAAGTTTAGGTTGTAGAGGCTGCTGTTGTCATCAGCAGATGGTCCATGCTAACTCCTCTTACCTCTCTCAGATCTGAGGTGGAACAATATAGGTCTGCTGGGAGGCAGGTCCATGCTGGAGGCACTTCAGAACAACAAGAGCATAGTGCAGCTGGAGATGGCTGGGAACAACATTCCCAGTGACACGCTGAAAGCTCTCGGTAAGTCCTACCTGAGGTCGTAACGCTAGCAGTATGGCTTTGTTAGCGTTACTATAACATGGTCACGCTGAGAGCCATCTTTACCTTTCAGAGCAGGCCACAGGGCACAACTCAGACAGGCGGTCCACCCTGAGGGAGAGTCGCAGCCGCACACAGGTCCTCAGCAAGGAGATTCAAACACTGAAGGAGGAGAAGGGCCGGCAGGTAACCTCGCATTCCCGAACTGCAGACACCACAGGTCAGCCATTCACCTCCAAGAAACATTTCTCCCAGAGAAGCGATCAGAAGTCTACAACCTGTCTGAATACGGGACTTCTGATCCTCCCAGCACTTGCACCACCAGTAGGAAATCCCAGTACATGCACTCTTGTAGCTATAGCCCACTGTGATTACAGATCCACAGATCCACAGGATGGATTCTGTAAAGGTTTATTTTCTGTGTAGTGATGCACCTTTATTTACTTTTCCAAAGAGACAAATGCAAACAGATTAATGTCAAAAAGCAATTTGCACTCGAGAGGTGAGTGCAGCTGTTTTCTCATCACGTAGTGGACACACAGCCTAGTTCCAGCTCAGTGTCCATACCAAAGTGAATCCCATAAATAGCCAAGACACACATATCGGTACAAATCAGGTTAACGTTTGGACTAAGCTGATAACGGTGGAGCGAGGGTTGAGGGAGTCTGATATCTTCACGGTTGTCTACACAAATTTGTAATGTGTAGTCAGATATTTCTGTGAGTCATAATGAACCACAGTAATGTCCAGATAACCTACTCAGATTAAATACAGTTTTTTATTTCTAACTTTTGTTTCAGTTCCTGAGCCTGATGGAGACCATAGACAGGCAGAGGGACGAGATGGGGCGCTCCAGTAGGTGAGCGGTGACTCTGTGGCCATTGGCCAATAGCCTGGAAGATGGTGTGTGGGGACACCTGCATCCTCTTATGATTCTGTGACTTTCTCTCTGTCGTCAGGTCAACCTCCAGTCAGATCGGCCAACTCCAGGAAGCTCTGAACGAGAGAAAGTCCGCTGTCAACTCTCTCACCGCAAAGTAATCGTTTCCTCCTCCGTCAGTCCTCGTCCAGCAAACAGCTGTGTGAGAAGACAGCTGCTCGTATATGTGGCTGCTGCAGTCATACAAGAAGAAAGCACGAGGATCACTTTATATCAGGAGACTTGGCACTCAAAAAAATGCTGAAATCCACGGAGAGTTCTAAGCCCCTCCCCCAGTTAGCCAGTCGTGTCGTGCTGCCGCGTGTGAACAATAGGTTGTAATGCTGTCAAACTGTATGTGTGCCCAGCAGGTGTGGAGTAACGTGTCACAGGAAAGCTCTTTACATAAACTTTGTTACAGAGTCACAGAACGTTGTTTGTTTTTGACGTGTGGGTTTGAGTCCCACTGAGCACTGAAGTGATCGTTGTCCAAATAACTGCCTGGATTTGATCTGAGATGGTTACAGAGTAGCTAGAGGGACCTTTCTGGGATGGTCAGTCAGACGTTGATGGACGTTTACAATCTAGCAGAAACACACGGTTCTGACTTACTTCAAGGTCACAGCTTTCAAATGCTGTGGATACATCTGGAAAAACACAGCACATGCAAAAATGCCCCCAGACATCTTGCAACTGAAGGATTTTTGCATGAAGCCACGGCCAAAAAAGTCAGCAAGCTGAGGAGAGCGGTGGACAGTTATGCAAAAGGCAGAGGAGTTATTTCTGCCAGCAGAGAACAAGAGAAACAAGAGGGAGTCCAGTCCTCCTCTCCTTCTAACCAACACCTTTATTATGAGCCACTCTGCAAACGCAGAAGCTCTGATGCGTTAGGACACTGGGATGATCGATTATGGTTTCCAGTATCCAAACATGATAGCAGTTCTTTGTTTGTCCTATTTTCCTGACAGCGATGTCATTCTGAGGAAATTTGCAGGAATGTCTCGAGACTTGGCACAGACGTCAGTTTGGACAAAGGATTAGCTGATTCGAGTTTGGTAGTCAGAGATTAAAGATCGGTGTAACCGGGGCCTCAAACATGCGTTTAACAGCATCATCTGTTGTTGTGCAGGCTGCAGATGACAGAAGCTGCCCTCGCACTCTCTGAGCAGAAAAACCAAAACATGGGAGAGCTGCTGTCTCGACTGAAAGCTGAGAAAGAAGGACAGAGGGAACAACACAGCAAAGAGAGGAAGAAAGAGCACGAGGTACAGAGTGATGGCAGCTTTACCTTTAAATGGTAGGACACTCATAAACAAGCTGAAACACATGACCGGCATGTACATGCTACGTGGCCGATGAGCTCACAGAGTCAGCAGACAAATCCAGCAATACTAAAACATAATAACATCATGCAGAGCAGATGGTGTTATAGTGCTGCTGAAAGCCCAACAATGCAGTCAGCTTTCTTTTTTCGCAGTAATGTTCAGTGACCATAGAGACAAAAAGGAGGTTTGACACTGGTTTGTGAGGAATAATGGATCCAGTCCTGCTTTAAAAGTGGCTGCATGACCACATCACATAGAGACAATGGAGCCGAGAGCCTGAGGTGGAGAGAGTCAGCTGCTTCTGCTGGTGAGAATAAACAGTGATGATGTTTGCTGCTCACAAAACAGCAAGACAGTGGCTCCTCTTCCTAAGGTGGCTGAGGAGGACTGGCACAGACGGACATATCACTCCTTCTGTCATCCAGAGTACTCTGTGTGGCTGCATCGATAGGCTGAAGCGACAGCAGGTCTGTCCCACCTATAGAGTCTTCACACTCCTGCTGTGGGCAGGTGTTAGCGGAGCATCCACACCTGAAGCAGCAGCAGTTATACAGCAGTAGAAGTTTCAGTCCACAAACCAGCAGCTGCTGAACTGATGAGAACCCAAACTCTGACTTCACCCGCAAACCAAACTCACTCTACAAACGAGTTGATTTAAATTGCACATAATTCACATATCCCAGAACATTTATGTGCATGCACACTACTGCAGACATTTGATTTGATTGAATCTTTATTTTGAACATGTTGAAAAAGT